AGCGTGGGGCCCTGACAAATTCCTATTGAACGGAAGCTGAACATTCCCTGATAACATTTATTCACGCACCAGTCCTACTGAGTGCGAATTAGAACCGTCAGAGGCGGGGCTGCATCTTACCAGCCTTTGATTCCCCCAAACATCTGGCACGCAGTAGTCTCTAAGACAGACTGTACTGACTTAATCCATAAGCCACGGTTACTTCCGACGGCACCGTGTGCCGATTGGCTGTTCTGTGTGCTCAGTGATCATGAGAGAGAGGGGATGGTTGCCACTGTGAACCAGGTGCCAGCTGCCTCACTGGCATTACCACGGCCAAACCACAACGATCTTCACAGGACCACGTCCCCATCTTGGAGATGCAGACACTGAAGCCAGAGAGAGAAAGGGCAGGCTAGGGCACATCACCAGGAAGTGCGATGCCAGCATCTGAAGCCACGCCCGGTCCTCCCACAGGCCTGGTGTTGTCCTCGCTGCACCACACTGCCCCCCAGGGGCAGGGTCACACCTGGGCCGTGGCCTGTGAACTTGCTCTTTGCCCCCCTTTCCCCCCTCAGGCTGCAGTCGTGGCTGCTGAAGTGAACCGGAGAAACAGCAATGCCTGGTGGCCAGAGGAGAGAATGTGTTCATAGAAACTGATTGTTAGCATTATATGGAAAACAGCTAAGATGTTATTTATGCTTTCTGGTGGAATGAGGACTAGATTAATATCCGAAGAGCTGCATCCTCCTTGCTGGCAGTCACCTGCCGTTTTAGAAGGTCCTGCCACACCCTTAGGGGGCGGGTTCTCCATTCAGAGAGGAGGGACAAGGTCATGTCCAGAGCTCTTCCCTGACCAAGAGTCCTGCAGGTGAAAGAACACAAAATGGCGCCACCTGCTGTTAAACAGACACAGGACAAGCTCCTGAGGACGCCAGAGCATTCGTGGGCGACAGCGTTAGGATGTCACTCATTCACTTCCTTCTCATTCATTTATTCCATCTACATTTATCTTGAGCTCTGCCTTCCCACATTCTATTTTCAGACCAATTAAAAAAAAAAACAACCCTGTGAGAATGATCTCACTAAAGTTTTAAACCATAGATGCAACCGCCATGGTTGTCAAATCTATAATTTCTGAGGCCGGCCCCCTCCTCAGAAAACGCTGAGGTGCTCAGGGAATGTCTGCTGAATTCATAAATGAACGTGAAGGTTCTGATATTCTCCATTTGCTCCTCCAGCCACCAGGTGTCCAGAACTGGTCGCCCCTGAGCGGGGGAGCCTGGCCTGCTCGGACCCTCAAGGAGAATTCAGTGTCGGCTCCACCTGCCAGTTCTCCTGCCAGGAGGGCTCTGAGCTGCAGGGGCCCGGCAGAGTGCAGTGCACGGCGTCCGGGAGGTGGACGGGCCCTCTGCCAACCTGCCAAGGTACATAGCGCTCCTGCCCTGGCAGCCCCCTGCCAGCCTCTTCCACACACATACCCTCACTCACACAGACCCTCACACACACACACAGACCCTCACACACACAGACCCTCACACACACATACCCTCACACACACACAACCTCACACACACAGACCCTCACACACATACCCTCACACACACATACCCTCACACACATACCCTCACACACACAGATCCTCACACACATACCCTCACACACACATACCCTCACACACATACCCTCACACACATACCCTCACACACACATACCCTCACACACACACACCCTCACACACACAGACCCTCACTCACACAAACCCTAACACACATACCCTCACACACACACACCCTCACACACACATACCCTCACACACACACAACCTCACACACACAGACCCTCACACACATACCCTCACACACACATACCCTCACTCACACATTCCCTCACACACATACCCTCAAACACACACACCCTCACTCACACACACCCTCACACACACACCCTCACACACACACACACACACATACCCTCACACACACATACCCTCACACACATACCCTCAAACACACACACCCTCACTCACACACACCCTCACACACACGCCCTCACACACACACACACACACATACCCTCACACACACATACCCTCACACACATACCCTCACACACACACACCCTCACACACACAGACACCCTCACACACACACAGACCCTCACACACACATACCCTCACACACACAGACCCTCACACACACACCCTCACACACACACACCCTCACACACACATACACAGACCCTCACACACACACACAGACCCTCACACACACAGACCCTCACACACACACCCTCACACACATACCCTCACACACATACCCTCACACACACACACCCTCACACACACATACCCTCACACACACACACACCCTCACACACACATACTCTCACACACACATACCCTCACACACATACCCTCACACACACATACCCTCACACACGCATACCCTCACACACACAGACCCTCACACACACACACCCTCACACACACATACCCTCACACACATACCCTCACACACACATACCCTCACACACACACACACACACCCTCTTCCACACCTTTCAGCATGGTTTCAGTGGGGCTCACTGAGCATTTACCAAGGGGACAAATACACGAGACTCTGATTGGCTAACCATGTGCCTCAGGATTGCGTTTACACATGACTGTAGTAGCACATTTCTCTGAGTCCTGTGTCTTTCTCCCCGTAACATCCTCGCACATACGATTATCACTGAGCAGCACATGTTGGGTTACTGGCGAGCTTGGTGATTCTTCTTCCTTCAAACCCAAGGCTGTTCTGGAAGAGATGCCTTCACCAGTGAAGGCTCACTCTGCTTAGCATCTTTGTTAGAAAACCAGCACCAATCCCTTGAAATGCTTCGCCCTGCAAAGACCCCTGGCTGCTAGGGTGGGCAGTGGCTGCCAAGAGGCTGTGCTTGGTTGGACCCCGAGGACCGGCGGGTTTTTCAGGGGAAGCAGGAGGGAATTCAGACGGTGTGATGAGAGCCGGGGGCAGGATGCTCAAGGCCGGTTCAGGAAACCCCCAGGGTTGATGGGGCGAGGCCGGGAGGCTCTGAGCTGTGGGGCTGGAGCTATGGAATAAAGCTCCCTGCAGGGGGAGGTGCACTGAGTGCAGAAAGGAGGCCAGGTGCCTGGGAGGAAGCAGTCTTGGCAGGAGGTGGGCAGGGGCTGAGGCCCCAGACCACACCCATGGGCAGAGGGCAGTGGGAGCCCGGGGGCCCTGGGGACTCTGGAGGAGAAGGGGTACACAGAAGTGGAGGAGACTGTGCCTTCTGGAGTGGGACTGCTTCATTTTTGGGACTTTTGCCCGCCCCCTAATGTGAGCCACCCCACTTCCTCCTGCCTTTGGGACAGATGACCGTGATGTTTGCTGTGGGGTGCCTGCTGCCCAGCCAAACACCTGACAGTGTAGGTGCTCAGGGAATGACTGCTGAGTTCACGCATGAAGGAATTGGCGCAAAGCAATACTTGCAAATGAACGTGAAGGTTCTGATATTCTCCATTTGCTCCTCCAGCCACCAGGTGTCCAGAACTGGTCGCCCCTGAGCGGGGGAGCCTGGCCTGCTCGGACCCTCAAGGAGAATTCAGTGTCGGCTCCACCTGCCAGTTCTCCTGCCAGGAGGGCTCTGAGCTGCAGGGGCCCGGCAGGGTGCAGTGCACGGCGTCCGGGAGGTGGACGGCCCCTCCGCCAACCTGCCAAGGTACATAGCGCTCCTACCCTGGCAGCCCCCTGCCAGCCTCTTCCACACACATACCCTCACTCACACATACCCTCACACACACAGACCCTCACACACACATACACAGACCCTCACACACACATACCCTCACACACACATACACAGACCCTCACACACACATACCCTCACACACACATACACAGACCCTCACACACACATACCCTCACACACACATACACAGACCCTCACACACACATACCCTCACACACACACACACATACCCTCACACACACACACCCTCACACACACACACCCTCACACACACACCCTCACACACACACACATACTCTCACACACACAGACCCTCACACACACATACCCTCACACACACAGACCCTCACACACACAGACCCTCACGCACACACACACACACACACCCTCACACACACACCCTCACACACACACACCCTCACACACACACACCCTCACACACACACACCCTCACACACACACCCTCACACACACACACCCTCACACACACACACCCTCACACACACACCCTCACACACACACACATACCCTCACACACACAGACCCTCACACACACATACCCTCACACACACAGACCCTCACACACACAGACCCTCACACACACACACCCTCACACACACACACCCTCACACACATACCCTCACACACACAGACCCTCACGCACACACACACACACACACCCTCACACACACACCCTCACACACACACACATACCCTCACACACACAGACCCTCACACACACAGACCCTCACACACACACACCCTCACACACACACACCCTCACACACATACCCTCACACACACAGACCCTCACACACACACACCCTCACACACATACCCTCACACACATACCCTCACACACATACCCTCACACACACAGACCCTCACACACATACCCTCACACACACACACCCTCACGCACACAGACCCTCACACACACACCCTCACACACACACACCCTCACACACACACACCCTCACACACACAGACCCTCACACACACACACCCTCACACACATACCCTCACACACATACCCTCACACACATACCCTCACACACACAGACCCTCACACACATACCCTCACACACACACACCCTCACGCACACAGACCCTCACACACACACCCTCACACACACATACCCTCACACACACAGACCCTCACACACATACCCTCACACACACACAGACCCTCACGCACACAGACCCTCTTCCACAATGGTGACAAGGGCATGGCTCTGACCGGGCAGCAGCCACACATTCATTATTATTATGATTACTAAAGACCTGGTGCACGAAACTTGTGCATGGAGGGTGTGTGGGGGGTCCTTCAGCCCAGCCTGTACCCTCTCCAATCTGGGACCCCTCGAGGGATGTTCAACGGCCGGTTGAATGGCCTGGGATAGTCGGACATCCCTCTCACAATCCAGGACTGCTGGCTCCCAACTGCTCACCTGTCTGCCTTCCTGATTGCCTCTAACTGCTTCTGCCTGACAGCCTAATCACCCCCTAACCACTCCCAGGCCAGCCTGATTGATATCTAACTGCTCCCCTGCCAGGCTGTTTGCCCCCAACTTCCCTCCTCTGCTGGCCTGGCCACCCCTAACTGCCCTCCCCTACAGGGTTGATCACCCACAACTGCCCTCCCTTGCAGGCCTGGTGCCTTTCACCTGCCCTCCCCTGCTGGCCATCTTGTGTCCACATGAGAGCAGGATCTTTAACCACATGTGGGCAGCTATCTTGATTTTGTGTGTTGGAGTGATGGTCAATCTGCATATTACTCTTTTATCAGATAGGATAGAGACCTGGTGCATGGGTGGGGACCAGCTGGTTTGCCCTGAAGGGTGTCCCAGATCAGGGGATTCCCTTGGAGCTTGGGGGTGGCTCGGGAGAGGGGCCTGTGGTGGTTTGCAGGCCAGCCACATCCCCCCAGCGACCCAAGCAGAGGCCCTGGTATCTGGAATTTATTTACCTTCTACAATTGAAACTTTGTAGCCTGGAGCGGAGCCAAGCCTCCTGCTTGCTCCTTGGCTGCCGCCATTTCTGTTTGGTTTTATGTATCTTCTATAATTGAACTTTGTAGCCTGGAGTGGAGGCATAGGCCAGCCAGGGCAGGTGGAAAGCTTGGCTTCCTCCATCACCAGGGGCAACCATAGCCTGCTCTTTCCAGTTCCCTGCCATTTTCCTTGGGATTTATCTTCTAAGGTTGAAACTTTGTATCCTTGACTGGAGGCCTAGGCTGGCCAAGATGTGTGGAAAGCTTGGCTTCTTCCGTTGCCAGGGAAACACAAGCCTCTCAACTGCTCTCTGTGGCTGCAGCCATCTTGGTTGGGGTTAATTTGCATACTCGCTCTGATTGGCTGGTGGGTGTGGCTGGTGGGCGTGGCTTGAGCAGAGTGATGGTTACTTTGCATATTACTCTTTTATTATGTAGGATTATTGTTGTTGTTGTTATTATTATTATTATTATTATTATTATTATTAAAGCCCTACTTCTTAGTATGAAATAGGGCCCAGGGAACACAGACTGGATATCTAAATGCATCAGGAGTGACAGGACTTGTTTAATATTTTGATACAAGATATACTGATTCGTAAGCAGAAATTGGCCTCCACGATTCTGGCCTCTCACTCTCTGAGCTTCACTGGGTCGGTGGGAGGGTCTGCTGCTTTGACCAGAGGGTGTGGGTGGAGGGACTGAGCGCAGAGCCGGTTTTCTGCCACGTGCTGGGTTAAGGACGAAGCCAGTGGAGTCCTCCCCGCAGCACACTCCATGCCCATGTGAGGCCGAGGCCACCCACCTCCTGACAAAGCCCACGCACATTTACCTCCCTCTGCATTCCCTAGATCTCCACACCAGCTCTCCCGCTCTAAATTCTTTTTATTGTTATTGGCAATATTACAGACCTCCCCCATTACCCCTCACCCCCTCCTTCCAACCCCACCACCCCAGGCTTGTTCAGTGAATATCAGTGACAGGGACCGCTCAGTTTCTTCTAGAAGGATTCCCTCCCCGAGGGCACTTGCACATTCTCTCCTCCCCCTGGTTTCCATGCCTCTGGCACCCGCTTCCCTGCACTGCCGGGGGCGCTATTGCTAGAGCCGCCGCTGTAGAAAGGGAGAAAGGAGGGAGGGTGATCCCAGCACAGTCCGCCTGCAGTGCTGCCTAAGCGCGTGTCCTCCCAGGTGCAGCGCCGGCGCCCCCCGCAGCGGCACGCTGCCCCGCCCTCGTCGCCCCGGGGCAGGGAGCCATGTCCTGCTCACACCCCCTGGCGGCCTTCGGGTTGAACAGCACCTGTCACTTTGAATGCCACGCGGGGTTCGAGCTCCGGGGAGAGGCCGCTCTGCGGTGCGCACAGTCCGGACGGTGGACAGCGGCGCCCCCGGCTTGCAGAGGTGAGTGCGGGCGGCAGCGCGGACACCGGACACCCGTGCTCCGGGCCCCCGAGCCTGCCGCCACCCCGCCCAGCCCCAGCTACAGCCCTGGCGCTGAGACCCAATAGGAAACGCTGTAAACGGCCTAAGTGTGTGAGGGCAGCAAGCCTGCTGGGCGCCGCCCCAGCCCTGTGAAGGCCGCCATACCAGCTTCAGCTCTAGTGCCGAGGGGACGGTGGACGTTCCACATCCTTATGGTTTGCACCCAAATAAGGGGACAGCCAGGCAGGCCCCCCGCAGGCCGGCTGCCCGTGCACAAACCATGGTCTCTCCCCCTCATCTTCCCCACCAAGCCCAGCCCAGCCCAGCCCGGCCCGGCGCTTTGTGGTGTTGCTCCTTCTCGGCGTGTATCTGAATTAAATTTAACTTCTTGAGCTCTAGCTTCCTGTCCACAAAGTAAGGTGGAGGACTTGAAGCTTCTGGAAAACCAGTCTGACGAGGGTTTTAACTAGTTTAACGCCTTGCAAACCTGAGTCGGGCCGTGTTGAGTCCTTGGGAAAGATGTCCATCCTGTGTAACATCTAACAGCACCTACTGGCATGCCGGCCAATGTCCACTAAAGTGATGATAGCCTTTAGGACAGCAGCATTTTTGAGATGCTGCTTGTAAATGGCGTTTTTGTAGGCCAGGCTGCCCGCTCCCTCAGCGGCTATTTCTCGGAGGCCACGCTGTGCCCACCTAGTTCGTTGGCTGGCTCCCTCCCAGTGGGTGTCCCGGTCTGTGAGCTGTTGGAAGAGATGATATGGATGTCGGGAGTGGCTGGTCTCCTCCCTGACCTTTCTTACTTAAAATATATATATATATATTATTGATTTTTTTTTTTTTTTTTTTTTTTTTTTTTTTTACAGAGAGGAAGGGAGAGGGATATAGAGCTAGAGCTAGAAACATCGATGAGAGAGAAACATTAATCAGCTGCCTCCTGCACACCCCCTACTGGGGATGTGCCCGCAACCAGGGTACATGGCCTTGACCGGAATCGAATGTGGGACCCTTCAGTCCACAGGCTGACGCTCAATCCACTGAGCCACACCTGTCAGGGCATCTTCTCTGACCTTTCCTGTTCTCTCACTGTCTGGCCCGGTCAGCCAGGTGCCATGAAGCCACAGTCTCGCTTCCCCTTCTGCGCCCTGACTGTTGTCCCCGTTCCTCCCTGCAGCCGTGCAGTGCTCCGAGCTGCACCCGGACCCACCGCTGCTGATGAACTGCTCCGGCCCCTGGGGCCACTTCAGCTACGGCACCACCTGCACCTTCGGCTGTCCGGAGGGCCAGGCGCTCAACGGCTCGGAGACAGCGGCCTGCGGCCCCGACGGCCAGTGGTCAGTGGCCACGCCCAGCTGCGAGGGTACGTCTGCCTGTGGTCTCAGGAGCCACGCACGCGGGTGTGGAAAATAACCAAATCCGTGCTCTCCTCTGCAGTTCTGATGGGGGTCTCGCTTTCCGTCTCGGGGTTTTCCCTGCATGTGATACGCGTTTCACAATGAATCAGGCCTTCACAGAGCACAGCGGGGGCAGAAGCAACAGCCCTCCTCTCGCTGAGCTCAGATTCGTGAAATGAATCCTCTGGCTGCTTTGCGATCTTCAGAATGTTTTCAGTGGGAGGTGATTACAGGCAGATTCCTCATGTGTCTCAGAGGACCTTTGTTTATCTAAAAACTCAGGACACCACAGGCTCCTTCCTGAAGCCCCATCGGTGTTTTTAAGGGTTATTCCATCCACCATCTTTCTTCCTCTTCCTTGTTTTTCCTCCACAGCTTGTCGTGACTTTCTTCTCCTGTAACCATATATTTTTATTGCAACAAAAATCCCCCAGGGTTTAATTTATTTGCTCAAACTTCCATTCCTTGGGTCTCCCATGTGGCCACTTAGCACCTCCTGTTAGGCCATCCTTGCCCTGACTCCTTTGGATACTAAAGCCTTGGGGGTACAGTGTGGTTTTATGACGCCCAGGTTGCCAGCGCTGCCAGGGCCTCTGGTGATCCCCCCGGATCGCACCTCGCGGGTCCCGGGGCCCCGCGGGTTGGGCGGTCTTCATCGCAGTGCACCCCAAGTCTGTGTGTGTGCTTGCTTGCAGCGGGGCCGCTGACCGTGCCGGAGGCGCTGACATACCTGGGCGGAGCCGTGGCCTCCACCACAGGCTTGGTGATGGGCGGCACGCTCCTGGCTCTGCTCCGGAGGCGCTGCAGGCGAAAAGGTAACGGGCAGGGAGGCAGCCCTTCGCTTCCGCTTTCCTGAGGCGTGGGAGGGTGGGAGGCAGCAGCTGCAGCAGAGCCTGTGTGAGGACACCTGCATGAGAAGAAACCGTGACCCTGAGGACAGACGGCCCTCGGTTCTCTTCATAAAAATGAAGGATGTCTTAAAAGCACAGGTCCTCCTGGAAGGAGAGCTGGACGCGGGCTTGGAAATCTGAACTTTGCAACACCCACCCTCTTTGGCACTGGGGGGCCCCAGGTCCAGGGAACCTCAGTTATCACCAAAAAAAAAAAAAAAAATGGAATGGTGTCTCACTTTTCCCCTTCATCCCCTCCACCGTTCTTTCATGCCTCCTCCATCATTGACTGACCAGCTGTGTCAGGAGGTGGGACCCTGGCTTCTGGTCCCTGAGCTGGAGGGATGTGTGACCCAGCAGTGGGAACAGGCAGGTGAGATCCGTGTTAACACTGAAGGGCAGGACTGGGTTAGGACACAGTTACAACCCGAGTGCTGCAGAGACACAAAACAGAGGTCCCAATCAGCCGGGTAGCTCAGAACGGTTCTTTGCCAGCTTACCTTTGACGAATAGGAGGGATTTGTCTGGGGGTGGGGTGGGGGCTGGGAGCAGAAGCAGTTCCAGGAGGAACGATCTGAAAGGACCTAGAGGTGAGGGCAGTGGAGAAGTGCTACACTCAGCAGTGCAGGGCATTTGACCCCAAGAGGCTCACGGAGGAAGCGAGAAAGGAGCTGGAGGCATGAAGAGCCGCCCTGCCCATGCTTTGGCCTGAAACGATGTATGTTTGCATGGACACGTGTGGAGCTAATGCCGGTTGAAGCCGGGAAGGGACCAGAATGGGTGGAGACCCTGGAAGGGAAAACGTGTTTGTCAGGCTGCCCATCAGAAACAGCTCTGGCCTGGGGGTAAAAGGAGGGGCCATCTCTTCAGGGTCAGAGCAGCCTTCCTCAGTCTGGCCCAAATGCCTAGCCTGTCCCTAAGTTCAGAAACCTCTTTGGATAAGCTTAGGGGGCTCCTCATCCTCATGGGAAGTGTCCCGGGCATCAGAGGGGCCGGGACTGTGCAGAGCCAGGGAAGGAAGTGTCTCTGTCAAAAGCACCTGCTGGAGTCCCCCTGGAGTTAGGGGGTCCCCCTGGAGTTAGGGGGTCCCCCCGGAGTTAGGGGGTCCCCCTGGAGTTAAGGGAGAGCCCCTGGAGTTAGGGGTCCCCCCAGAGTTAGGGAGTCCCCCTGGAGTTAGGGGGTCCCCCTGGAGTTAAGGAGACCCCCTGGAGTTAGGGGGTCCCCCTGGAGTTAAGGAGTCCCAGCTCCTACCCTTCCCTGCTCAGGGCAGGACCACGTGGTCCCTGCTCTATGCCCCTCCGTCAGAAAGCCACCATGGCTCTGAGGCTGGCTCTGTCGTGCTGTCCTCTGGGTGGCGAGTGGGACAACAGACAAGGAGTAACACTGTTTAAAACCAAAGGTCCCCCCTCCCCACTCCAGCCTCTCCATGCAGCATCGGCGCTTGCTTAACTAAACTCAGAAGGCAGACGCAAGAGCTCCTGAGACCGCTCCAGGCTATGTCCGAACCACACTCCTCTTGCATTTCCCCCAAGTTCTTTCCTTGGTTTAGACACATTTCCAGGGAGCCCTCTGGACTAGGGAGAGGGCCAGCAGCGCCCTCCTCCAGGGTCTTTAATAAAAATACATGCCTTTGTGAGGATGGGCCTTTCCCTTGTCAAACGTCCTGGGATTCTGTGGTCCATTTCAGGACAGTGCTGCCTGCTCTGTCCCTCCCCTGCAGATCCGTTATCACATAGGAGGCTCAGTGATGCCGGTAATAAACACACTGGTTCTTCACTTGACCTGATACTTGACAACGTTGTTAGCCATGAGATGCTCCCATTGACGGGAGGGACGGCTGCGGTGCTTTATGTTCCCACTGACATGGCTCAGGGTTTATATCAGGACAGAAGGCCCTTGATTGCTCCCGTTACCATGGGGGGAGACCTCCGCTGTTTCTTTATGTAATTAACTTGCCCAAGTGTAGGCGGAGGCCGTGGTCGGCAAACCGCGGCTCTTTGGCCCCTTGAGTGTGGCTCTTCCACAAAATACCACGGCCTGGGTGAGTCTATTTTGAAGAAGTGACGTTAGAAGAAGTTTAAGTTTAAAAATTTTGGCTCTCAAAAGAAATTTCAATCGTCGTACTGTTGATATTTGACTCTGTTGACTAATGAGTTTGCCGACCACTGGGCTGAGGGATTGTGACACAAGATGAATGACGGTGCCTCGAGTGCCAAAGAAATGGGTTTTGAGAACCAGTGGTCTCAACCACAACCAAAACCAGCCAACAGACAGGCACCAGACCCAGGAGGGGAGGCTGCTACTGCAAGGGCAGAGGGGAAAGGTGAGAGGTGAGAGGTGAGAGGTGAGAGGACTCTGGAGTTACATGACAGGGGTGGGCCCTGCCTCTCAGGGAAACATGTCCCTTTAATGAGTCACCTGAAAATCAGTCTACCTACGACTCCCCCAATAGCTCCCACCTGGATGGCCTCTCCCCTGTACCTGGTTCCTCTTTTAACCAATCACCGTGTCTTCTTGCTTTTTTCAGATGATGGGAAAGACCTTTTGAATCCTCACAGGTAAGGCAGAACTGTTTTATAATTGAGCTCATTTTTCTAGTCTGACTTTTTAATTCGCCATAACATATCTGGATGGTTACACATAACACCCCTTTCTTGCAACACAACGAAATGCACAGATAATATATCCTAGCTACCCATGTTTTAAAAATCAGTAAGCACCCTAATGATAGAATCAATAAAAATAGGAGGGAAAGTGATTTACTGTAGAAATAAAAGGCTAAAGCTGGGACACTACACTGGCGGATCCCATGAGCTTATCAGAGGCCCCTTCCGGTAGAACCACTATGAAGGCACCCGCCAGAGAGGACAGCTGACAGGAAGGTTGTCACAGTGACTCAGAGAGCCCCAGAGGCATTGCCAACCCGAGTGATAAGGGTGAACGATTGGTAGAACGTTTGGAAAACCTGACAAAATCTTCCTTGTCAAAGACGTTGCATTTTAGAAGATGCCAAAAAGCAACACACACAAAACACCGTATTTATATGTAAAGCAGTGAGGTCTGGGCTCGGAGATTTTTTCACCTGCATAAATACTGTGTCCCTACTCCAAAGTCATACGAAGCGCAGGACAGTTAATTGTCTTATGTCTGTGCATATTAGGATATCCAGGAGCCTGGTCCCTGTCTCCAATGTTCTTAGAACGGTTGATCATTGTGAAAATTAAAAAGCGCCTGTAGGGGGCAGTGCTGCCTCGAACACTCCTGCGGGGATCTGATGGTCAGGGATCCAGATAGGAGCTTTGTAAGGACTTCCCCTCACCAAGAACAGCTGCAGCCCTGTAGGGGGCGCAGCAGGCATTCAGCACCCAAGACATCAGCAACAGCTGCACCTGGGTGTGAAAGGTGCTGGTTAGGGGCACCCAGAAAACCCTGCTGGCGTTTCTTCTTCCCCTTTTAAAGCAGAATCCCAGGGGTGGGCGGTGACCCTCCTTCTGGAGAAACTATGTCCTGGACTGTGCTCCCGGGCTAAGCACCACGTGGCAGGTCATCTCTGTGTTTCTGTTCTTTAGCCACCTGGGGACATACGGAGTTTTTACAAATGCTGCATTTGACCCGAGCCCTTGAGGTAAGTTACTAATGATGGCATATTTTATTTATTTGTTTGTTTGTTTGTAAAATATATTTTTATTGGTTTCAGAGAAAGAATGGGGGAGGGAGAAACAATGATGACAATCATTGATTAGTTGCCTCCTGCAAGCCCCTTATTGGGGATCAAACCCCTAACTGGGGCATGTGCCCTGACTAGGAATCAAGCTGTGATCTCCTGGTTCATAGGTCGATGCTCAACCACTGGGCCACACCGGCCAGGCATAAAGGAAATAGAACAGTAAGGTGAAGGGGAAGATTTTAAAGTTTGACTTTTTACCATCGTGAGTTAAATGTTAAGTATGGAGTGTATTTTCAAGCCATGAAGGAAACTGTGTTGGCACAGGGGACAGGCATAACAGTAGTTCACATAAGGATTTTCACACACACACACACACACACACACACACTCACCCGGGTGACACGGTCTAGTGACACTTATTTCAGGATGGATGGCACTCCCTTCAGTGCCTCGTAGGCGACATTAACATTGTGGCTTGAGAACCAGACGCCTGGACCCCTGGGAACATTTTACAGCTTTTATGGAGCCAATGCCCTCGTGGCCCGCTGGGAAAATGAAAATAGCCCGAGACGTCTCTCCCAAACAGCTCAGGGAGGGAGGAGTCTAAGAAAAGTAGCCTGGACGGCAGAAAAGCTGGCTCAGAAAGATTATATTGGGCCTTGGGGAACAGATGTGAAGAGAGCTTTTTTCTTTCTTTCTTTCTTTCTTTCTTTCTTTCTTTCTTTCTTTCTTTCTTTCTTTCTTTCTTTCTTTCTTTTATTTTTTAAGGAAATGTCATTAATGTCTGTTGGGTCCTTTTCAGAGGCCTGTCCTCTCTGGGTCACCTCACTCCGCCTCAGAGGATGCTATTGTGGGACATCGGGTTTCCTGAGAAACTTGACGGACGGGAGCACGCCGCTGCCGTCTCTGTGAATGCTTGTGAAGGAAGGACCAGGCCGTTCCTTTAGAGGAGCTCTGGACCGGAGCGGAAGAAACAGTCTCCATGCCCCCTCCTCCCTGCCCCCTCTCCCCGGCCGCGTGCTGCTGCCAGGGTCCGGGCTCGGCCGGCGGCCACCAGAAATACTAATTAGCCAAAGCCCGGAGCCGCTGAGCCACCGGAGCAGCAGACTGCGGAGAAGGAAGAACGGCTCCTCAGTTCTGGACTGGAGGCGGGCCTCCTGCGCTTCTGGAGGGAGGCGGTGTCCCTCCTGGAGGATTCCTGTATGGCCTCCAGTCCGCAGAGCGGCGTCTATGGCCCCCTTAGACCCTGCTGTAGAGGCGTCCAGAGGCTGCAAACGACTGAGAACCAGGACAGGAAGATACCTGTCCCTGTGATGGTCTTTCCAAGGTCACTCTCCCCCAAAGATCCATATTCAAAGGTGTTATTAAAAGGATCCCCCAAACGCCATGTTATAGTATCTGATGCTTTGTTCAACAGGGTCTGTGTCTATTACTTTGTTTACATTAATGTAACGAACAACTTTACTGCTGGACCCTCCGTCAGCCGGCAATTATATATTACACACCTTTCCACAGGGGGAAAACCAGAGAAGCACAAAAAGTCTTCATCACAGGCATTCCTGGGCACTGTCCTAGGGTAGAATGGAGGTGTCTTACACATCCTTTACATTCTTTATTGTCCTGGCCAGTTTGGTTCTGTGGATAGAGTGTCTGCCTGTAGACTGAAGGGTTTGATTCCTGTCAAGGGCACATGCCTGGGTTGTGAGCTTGATCCCCAGAGGGGGACGTGCAGGAAGCAGCTGATCAATGATTCTCTCTCATCACGGATGTTTCTATCTCTCTTTTCCTCTGCCTCCCTTTCTCTGAAATCAATATCTTTATAAATCCCCGGTTTGATAAATAGGCTGTTGAAAGTTGCAGTGTTATCTGGAGCAAATCAGACACAGCCGTCTTGCCTCTGTGAGGCAATAAGCACGCCATGCAGACTGAACGACACAGACAAACATGCCAATGAAAATGGCGAAACAGCCTAACCGAAGGTCACAAAACTTTTGCAAGAATTTTGATAGGAACCTTGGGATTGAGGGACACCGTGCTTTTAAAGGTTCCCGGATATGCTGTCAATAGTAGCTCTGCCTGCCAATCACGAGGCGAGGCCTCCCGGAACCATCACCAGCCCTGTCTCCGGAGGCAGTCTCGTGAAAGCTCCCCAGGGAATCTGGATGGGTTCCCAGCTGATACTATAGATAACGGGGTGTCCTGCTCATGAAAGGCTTCTGACCTGGTTGGCAAGACAGCTAAGTACTAGCGGGTAACCATCCCAAAGTACCCGAGGGGAACCAGCAGGGCATGTGTGTGAAGAGTGCTGCAGGAGCTCACAAAATGGAAAAGCCCGTTCAAGCCCAGGATCAAGGCGACAGTGGAACTCTGAGTGGACTTTAGGGGGGCCTGGAGGGAACTCGCCTTCTACGTTATAGAATAATATCAGCCACGGGCGAGGGCAGAGGGTTGTGTGTAGGGGATGAAGCGTTGACGAGCTTGGCTTCATCGTGACCTCACACCAGGTGCCCATGACAGTTTATTGGCAAATCCTTAAGCAGGGGCTCAGGAGACACAGAGGTTCAGGGAACCTGGGGCAAGCCATCAGGATGCTTCAGACACTATAATTCTCTCATTCTCTCTATCAATAGCAAACAAGACCTTAAGGCAGAGTGAAAACAGACAGGTGGCAGAACCATAAGGGACTCTGGAGGCAGGAAAAATACAGCCCTGATAATGAGCACTGCTCAGTGCTTTCCCACTGCCAGGAGTGACACGCCTTACAGGATGCCCTTACCCTCCCAACGACACTATCAGGGAAAGCTGTTACCGTCTCCCCTACCGGGCAGATGGCAAATCTGAGCAGCTGAGAGGCTGAGGAACGCGTCCAAGACAACACAGCTTGTGAGTGGAACTGAAACCTGGTCCACTGGTTCCCTCCCTCTCTCTCTCTCCCTCTCTCTCTCTCTCATACACACACACTCACACACACACACACACACACACACACACACACACACACACTCTGGTGAAGCCCTCCTCTTTGTTGCTGCCTTTAGTAGCCCCCATCAAAACAGAACTGAGCGCGGGCAGAAGCCCAGGAAGTGGTCCAGGCTGACAGCCGGGGTCTCGTGCTCATCTCCTTGCTTCCTCGCCCGCTGAAGACACATCCCTGTACCCAAGCACAGTGCACACGCCCTGCCCTTTCCTCCCCTTTCCTTGCAGCCAGAGAGGGCTGTGCTTAAAGGTGGTGGATCCCCTGGCACTGGGAACTGCAGAGGGTCTGAGGAGAGTGAACATTGCCCCAGGCAGCGTTGTGGGGTGCTGAGGGCTCCTGCTCCCAGGCTCAACAGCTGGAAGTGCAGGGAGCCCTTTGCCTGCGGTGTATGCACCCCTGGGCACTGCCCCACCTGCTGGAGCCTCTGAGCTCTGCGCTCCCGTCACCTATAGTGAAACAAGTCACTGATCTGGGTGCCTCCTCTTGTCTCTGGGGGCAGTGACCTCGCCAACCCCTCTTCCTGGAAGGGCTCAGGAGGCGGGACAGCCTGTGGCTGCGGCTGAGGCGCTGGAGAAGCTGCAGGAGGACACTGCCACCCACAGCCTCCCGAGCTCACTGCAGCGGGGACAGCGGACGCCCAGCCCTAGCAGTGCAGCCCCAGCAGCTGATTGAGCCCTGCCCGGGTCCTGGGGCGCCGAGGGCAGGAGCAGGGAAGAGCCATGTCCCCAGGCAGCCTCTGCCTCTGGGTCCTGCTGGTCCTGGGCTCCAGCTGGGCAGGCTGGGGGGCCACAGGGGCCGAGGCTGCGCGGCTGAGGCAGTTCTATGTGGCTGCGCAGGGCATCAGCTGGAACTACCGCCCGGAGCCCACGGACCCCAGGTAAGGCCGGGGTGGTGTCTGAGGATTTCCGTGGGAGCTTACTCTGCTGTCTTAGGCAGCCTTCCCTTTGCTGATCCTGCCTGGAGGGTGAGGATATAGAAAAGACGCTGTGTGATTGGCTAGATGCTGCTTTCCAGTTAGTATGATTGATTGTTTGTTTAATGTATTGATTGGTTCAAAAGCACCAGCACCCACCCCCTCGCTAGCTCTTTACAAACTCCTGTTCTAGAATTTTAGTGGCCTGGAATTGTTATGGAACTTCTGGTTGCATAGCCTTTATTCCATTCTCCACGCTGCTTCATCTTCTAAAACTAAACCTTGTACTTCATTATAGGCAGAATAACAACTGCTATCACTTTGTTGTTTTCTCATAAATGACTCTCAACACATCATTAGTCCCTAAAAAGGCACCATTTTTATTCTTTCTTCCTCACTTTGGCAATTTGGGTGGGGTCCCTGTGAGAAGGCAGAGATGCAGCTAAGAGGAGGTTTAAATAACAACATATCTTGGGAGTCAGAAACTACTTTTCCCAATCGAAATGCTAAAAATAAAACTTCCCAGAAATGAGGCAAATTGCAGGATCTACTCAATATTTCCAGTTGGCTATATTTTTACTGGTTTCAATGGTAAACCTCTTCATGTGACTCAATTTTGTTAAATTAACATCACACTTGGGTTGCGAAAGCCATGTTCCCCTTTTACAATTACAAAGCGATCTACCCAGAGATGTTGTGCTAGTTCCAGTCTTTTTGTGCAGAACCTTAACCCTTTTCACATTTCCTCAGTAAGGTTTATTTTGGAGGGTATTACAGATCTGTTGGTCTTGTACAAAGAAATCCCTCTTTTTAAAAAAAAAATATAAATCACCTTAGACATTTCATTTCAAGGTGATAATCAAGGTCCCACACACACTGTACAGTACTGCCATGGATTAACCCTGCCAGGAGAATAAGTCTTTACAACACGAGTCTTTCCTGCGTGTGGGAGCACTGACTTGCTGCTGGCTTTCCTGTGGCCGCTGTGCCATGCTGGGAAGTGTGGTCTTTCTTCCATAGCTAATGCTGGGCGCTGGGGGCAGGACCACAAGGGTCCAAAGTCGGATTCACGCGGTGAGTCCACAGGGAGCCACGGCTGTCGTCCCACCCTCCTACTCTGCGGCTGAGTTCCCGGGATTCTGGGAAGGGTCATTCTTCTGGTATCAATGACTGAATCCAAACCACAGAAGGATAACCCAGATCGAGGCTCCATATCGAACCTCAAATCATGTCATTTCCCTCTAGTACTTTCTCGTGGAAAATCTGTATATCTGGCTGCTTAAATAAGAACTTGTTCTAAATTGTCCTACACTGGGAGCTAACAGATACTATTATCAATTCCACCCTTTGCCAAAGTCTATTTTAGCACAAAGCAGACTTTCCCTGTAGTTCATCTAAAATTAGCAGTGCAATGCCTTTAGAGGTTAAATGTGTCTATTATTCTTGCTCAAGGCCTGAAGTGAATGTTTCTAAACATTCCCTTAAGAAAACTTGTTCAATCATTACATGCATGTAGTAACATATTTTTAAAATGCATATATAGCCATAGCTGGTTTGGCTCAGTGGATAGAGCATCGGCATGTGGACTGAAGGGTCCCAGGTTTGATTCTAGTCAAGGGCACATGCCCAGATTGTGGGCTTGATCTCCAGTGTGGGGTGTGCAGGAGGCAGCACTGACTAATGATTCTCTCTCATCATTGATGTTTCTATCTTTCTCTCCCTCTCCATTCCTCTCTGAAATCAACAAAAATAAAAATAAAAATAAAAATGCATATATATTCATCATGCATATTTCTGTTCCGACAGATTATTTTCCAGGAGTCATTCAACTTTTTCAAAATCAAAATAAATATACCTTGGTATGCTCACCCAATATATGCAGTCAAATGTGTTAGAAAACACATGTCTATTCGACTTATTCCACATAAAAGACTGATTTTTCCTAGTAGAGCTTACGCCATTATCTATATTCTTGTATTTAGAGATCTGGGTTGGGACAGGAGGATTAATTTTCAGTTTTATTAACAACAAACCAAATGAATAAAAATGGAATCCCACATTCAGGATAAAACCAACACACAGAATCCTTGGGCCTAAGGACTCTGTAGGTCGTTCAGTTCATTTTCAACCTCTCTGCCCTCCCCGTCTGCTCCCCCGACACCCTGAGCACCCAGATTCTTGCATCCAGTTCCTATTCCACTGAGAACCCACTGCTTCCATGGCTGCTCATTCCAAAAGCACTTATTCATTCTGCCCCCAAACATTAACACAGTTCTTATATCTCCCCCCAAAATTACAAGGATTACTACAATTACAGATGTTTCTGTTTGCTGGGAAAACCTGAAGGCTAACCACCAACTTTTATTACCTTTTAAATTATTCTGGCTAACTCTAAGTCCTCTGTTGGTAACAACTTATTTAATACTCATCACAATTCTGAGAGGAAGTTTTATTATTATTCCATCTCACATTTGTGGCAGCTGAGGAGCCAATGGAGTTAGTAAGTTATTCGAGATTACACAGTGAATAACACCACTTGGTTTAAACACAGACACTCTGACTCGCCCGTCCACCCAGCACTGTAGCATGCAGAGGCCATGGCAGCTGGGGAGGATCTTCCACGTATGTATGCCCTGACCATGGCTGGGCCACTGTCTCTAGTGGCTCAGTGGATAGAGCATCAACAAAGCCAAACTGGTCAGCTGACTTAGACATTTTAAAAAATGTCCCCCAATTCTCTTCTCTTTACCTTAATCTTTGAGTTTGAGACGAGAATAGAACGATGTGTCCATGTTTAGGGACACAACAGAAGCATCCTGGAGAGTATCCCAGGAGTCTCCTCCCTAACTCTGTTAAGTCTTTACGAGGAACACAATGGTTCCACCGTTCCTGAATCTTGGCTCTACCACTTGCCCATGGACAAGTTACTTACACTTCCTGAGAGTTAGTTTCCTCGTTTGTTTGCTCCCAGTGTGAATCTAGGGCTTTTACTGGATGACCAGAGCCAACTTCTCAACCCGAAGTAGGACCCACCAAATCAGTTCTTTACAGTGTTGCTCACAACTTACCTCTGTATTTGATTGGCCAGCTGAAAATAGTCCACATATTTATTCATGAAAGATTTGATCATTTCTTAATCATCTAAACTCTAACCCTAAAGATTGGGTTCACATGACCATCTTGGGTTCTTTAGAAAATAGGTTCTGAGTAACAGGATTAGTTAGGCCAGGCTTCATTTGTGACAGAATGATGATCACTGTAGAATATTCTTGAAGAGACCAGCAATTATTGTTATCAGCGTCATGGATTGTTCATATTCATAAAACCATGGGTTTCTGAAAAATAATTAAAAATACTATTGTTCCTAGGACATGAAAGATTTCTTTTTTTCATTTTTTCTTTTTCTTTTGGAACATGAGTAGATGTCAGACATACATTTTAAATAATTTTTTTTGTATTTTATTTCCAGCTTGGATCCTTCTGCAAAAGCTTTTAAGAAAATTGTGTACAGAGAGTATGAAGCATATTTTCAGAAAGAAAAACCACGATCTAAAACTTCAGGTAAGCATGAAACACATACTAGTATTCTCTAATTTAAAGGTAAATCTCTTGGATATTATCTATACCTCACATTTCCATTTACTGATATTTTTTAGAAATGTGTGTTCTTGTTGTTTTTAACCAGTTTAGGCTACATAATTTGTGGAGCCCAGGGCAAAATGAAAATGAAATGCACATCATTGAGAATTTCAAACCAGGGACAGCGGAGAATTGAGGCAAGCTGGGCCCTGTGTGATTTCACACACCCACAGAGCCAGCTGTTTTTAATCTTGATCAAGAAACTGAAGGGGTCTTTTAAGTGTTTGAATTTGTATTCATTCATCTGACTCAGCACCTGCTCTGGGCTGGGCCGAGCACTGGGTGCTGCGGGTGCTGCGGGTGCTACAGGGGACAGGCCAGGCGGCCCAGGCTGAGGGTGTGATGAACCTGAGCTAAAGTCCCTTCCTTGCCTAGCTCTCTGCACTCATTCAAAGGAACTGCAAGTGGCTGTTCTGAATTCTTCTGCATCTGTCTTTCCTGTTTGATTTAGTGTGCTGTGCACAATAGCTGCCACTTTTAAAAAAAATCTCTTCTTCCTTCCTTATTTCTTCTTTAGTCAAGGAAAGAGGGTCAAATGGGTTGGGCTCTGAAATATGGCACCGTATTTTCACAGGAGCGAGAGGTCAGCAAGCAAGAACTTCCTCCAGTTGGGTCCCTGGTCACTGATTGACTCAGCCTTCCCCCAACCACGGAGTCTGCCCTTTGACCCAGACTCCCTCTCTGCCTCTCTATCATCCCACTCCCCCCACCTCCTCGGATCTCCTTTATCTGCACTCTTCCCTGGACTGGAGCCTTCCCCATGAATAGCAAAACAGCACACAGCTATGTTCAGGTTAACTTCCATCTGGAACAAAACTCTGCTCCACTCTGCTTCCCGCTCCTTTCTCTCCCCTCTCCTTCACCACCGGTCGGTGTATAAGTGGCCCATTTCATTCCTATGGTGTCATTTCCTCTCCCTGGCTCCCTCCCTCCCCTGCTCAGAGGGAGCTGCTAGATTTACTCTCAGAAGAGGCCCCTGTGGCTGCGAGGATGCCAGAGCCAACGGTTTCCATCCAGGTCTTTCCCAACTTGACATTCCTAGGACGTTTCATGCTCCCTCCCCTCTGGAAACTCTCTACCTCTCTTGGGGGGGGGGGGGGGACGACTAGGGACTAACACTCAGAGATAACGCCTCCCTGAAACCTGGCCCCCAGGGGAGGACAGACAGGGAAGTTCTGAAAGGGAATAAGAGGCTGGAGGGCATTTTGGAGTTTTATAAAAAAAAGGACTCAGTGACTTCAAATATCTAAGTGCTCAAGGGAAGAATCCAATAGGAAAGGAGCAGATAAAATCATCTGATGGACGGAGTCGGACTCAAGGAACAGGCGCGATCAGCTGTGGTAGGAGACACACTGCCTTCCCCGAGGCAGGAAGGTTCCTCTTCAGGTTCAGTTTGTAGCCGTGGGCAGGAGGATCAAGGCTCACGTCCATAACTCCAGCTCCAACCTTAGCACACACTTAAGAACTTTTTAATTAAATTGTTACAGGCGGGCAAAGGGAAGCGAGCCAGGAAACATTAATGAGTGGAAGAGAGAGGGAAAGACAGAGAAATATGGATGTGAGAGAAACACATCAATTGGTTGTCTCCTGCACACGCCCCCACCAGGGCCCAGGCTGGGTGGAGCCTGTAACCCAGGTACTTGCCCTTGACCAGAATCAAACACAGGACCCTTCGGTCCACAGGTCAACGCTCTATCCACTGAGCCAAACCGGCTAGGGCAGGGAATGACATCTTATTAACCTTTGGATCCCGGTAGTAGTTGATACAGGAGCCAAGTCTGGTGTCCAGGGAAAACCTCAGCTACTGGATGAGGAGATCTGAGTTTGAACACTGCCCTTGACTGTGACCTTTCCCTCCCAGCCTCCTGCCATTCGAACCTCCCTCCCCCCCTCCTGACCCCATTTCCACTCGCCAGGTGGGTGTGGCTCTGGCTGAGCCTGAACGGAACCGCCATGCCCCCCACTCCGCAGCAAGAGCCCAGACCGGCTGCAGGACCGGAGGTCTGAGGCCGATGCCCGCCCAGTGGACAGGGAGGGGGGACGGGGCCATTTTCAGGAATGAGGCCTGGGCTTTTGAATGGCTAGTTCTGAGTCTTTGCTCCTTTTCAAGGAAAGTTATGACATATTTGTCCCTGAAGGTTTTTAAGGAGCTTCAACCTTGCGTGACCCTGTTTTCTGAAATGTGTCATTCACCTGAGAGCAGGGAGTTAGCAGACCTCCTGCGGCCCTCTCCAAGGCCCCAACTGCAGGAAGTTGGGCACATGCTCCTTTCCAGGGAGCAGGGGGGTAAAGGGGGGAGATTGGCTTGGGCCTGGGGAGGGGGTGGGGAAGGTTTCAGGGCCTCTGGCCCACAGAGGAGCTGAGCAGCAGCTCAGGAACATTCAGCCACTTGTCTGCCTTCATGCATGAAGGCGTGTGAATTGCCTCGATGAGAACATGCCTTTGTTTTGCCCTGACTCTGGAGAAGCAGAGGGAAGGCTCAGTGAGTACTCTGGGCTGGTCACTGCCATCAGAGGTCTCCTCAGGTTAAACAGCTTATAAGACTTACTCTGGGCATCTGGCATTTGCAGCCATGAGACGCCAACAAGCAAATCCACCAAGCAAGGCCCCCATGGCAACGGAATGCGGGTCCAGTGTGAGAGCAGAGTCTGCACCCTGTGGGCCTCATGGGCATCCGGCAGCTGGCAGCAGCCCGCGGAGCGTCGTTGGGAGCTAGGACTGCGCATAGCCACCAGAAGAGAGGGGTCAGCCGGGGTCAGAGTGGTCAGGGGCCAAGACTGGTGTAGACTATTCCAGGAAAGGGGGTCTGAACCCTCCCTGGCGAAGGTGGTAGAGAAAGCTTTAGTCCAGGCATCCAAAGACCTAACTGTCAGCCCCAGCAATGCCATCGAATCACTCACTGGCCCTGGGCAAGCCACCCTCCCCGCCCGTGGCAAGCTCCGTGAAGCCAGCACGGGCACCTGTGTTGCTCAGCATTGCAAGTCTGACCCACGGTAACGTGGGCGCTCCTGTTGAATGAACGAATGAATGAGTGACTGCGCACGGGGGGGGAGGGGGGGAGAAGGTGGTGACAAGCTTAGGATCCAGTCAGACAGGCTTCACTTCACTCAGGCTCTGCCCCTAACTAGCTGTATCAGGGGGCAAGCCAGGGAAGCGGAAGCAGGGGGAACACCGGAGGATCTTACCATCCCTCTTAGAGACGTGTGGGAGGATTCACAGGAGGATGTTCATGTGTGACTGTCCCGGGGGACAGTGGGTGGAGCCTGCTGCCAGGGGATGCGGGTGAGCTCTGTGGCGCTGACGCCCCCTGCCCCCGTGATGCCTACAGGCCAGAAGCCACCCCCCACGAGAGCTCGTGGGAGGCTGGGAAGTGGGGGCAGTCCACTCCTGCCACCTGTTGAAATGAGGCTCTGGCGACGGGCTCTCCAGCTCTCAGGGACATGGTATCACGCAGGGGCACATGCTCAGAGGCAGGGCCCTGACTCCACCTGCAGAGGCGGGCTCCCGGGCTAAGCTGGTCCTTGGGAACGGACTGCACTGTGGGAAGCTCTAGACTATGACTCCGCAAAACTCAGAGCAGACGCCCTGTGCCCTCACCTCCAGCCTCTGCCCACAGCATTCTGCCAGGAGCTCAGCAGCAGTTCCAACTGGGTGTGGCTCCTGGAGGACAGGACCTGGCACAGCCCCTGGCATGGAGTCAGGGAAACCTCCCTCTTAGCTTCTGCCTCTGACCTGCCGTCCCGCTGTGTTCCCAGCGGCCTGGCTGGTTATTTCCCCAACGGCTCAGATCAGAAGCCTCGGGCCATCCTGGCTTCTCTCTCTCCTGCCACATCCAACCGGTCAGCGGCTGCTGCTGGCTCTGCCTCCAGAGTTCAGAGACCACCTCTTCTCGCCACTTCTCTGGCCCCGGGTGCTGCGGCCTCCTCTGTATCACCAGGTCCTGCTTCCACTCGTCCACCACACAGCAGCAGGGTGAACTGTTTGTCTGGGTTTTCCCTTTCTCTTTTCTAGGATGAACTTTTAAAACACGTCAGACCCCACCTCCCTGCTGCACAAAGCCGCCTTGACTTCCCATGTCACTTAGGAGAGAACCCAAGGTCCTTGCTGTGACCATAGGCCTGAGGGTCCTGCCCCCAACGTCGCTTCTCACTCTGCCCACGCTGGAGTCTTTGTTTTCTGGTTGTTTGTTTGTTTACTGTTCTTTGAAAACATCAAGCTCACTCCTGCCTCCAAGACTTTGAACTTGTCCGAGAACTGTGTGGTTTGCTCCCTCACTTAGGGCCTCTAAAGTAGCTAGTCACCCTCCCTCATACCACCCTGGACATTGAAAATGAATGTCTGCCCTGGCCTGTTTGGCTCAGTAAATAGAGCATCAGCCCACGGGCTAAAGGGTCCCGGGTTCTATTTCAGTCAAGGGCACATACCTCAGTTGCAGCTCTGGTCAGGAGGCAACCCATCCATGTGTTTCTCTCACATCCATGTTTCTCTCTGTCTTTCCCCCTCCCTTCCACTCTCTCTAGAAATAAATAGATAAATAAATAGTGAAGGTCTTCCTTTTCTTGACCAAAGATGTAGGTCGTCTCTAAGGAACGACAGTGGGTCAGAACGGGGGGTGGACACAGTGAGAATGACACTGCTCCTCAGCTTGCTTTGAGCCAAGCCAAGCGTCTCTCCCTCCCGCCCTGTCCTTAGCCGGCTGCACGCAAGGCTGAGCTTAACAGGCGATAAAGCCTTACAGATGGAAGGTAAGCAGGTCAACCTCAGCACCTGAGGGCTGACCACAGTCACTCATGGGATTCTCTGCATGGTGTGTGTGCGTGTGTGTGTGTGTGTGTGTGTGTGTGTGTGTGTGTGTGAGAGAGAGAGAGAGAGAGAGAGAGAGAGAGAGAGAGAGAGAGAGAGACAGCTCCGTCTTGTGTAATCCTGACATAGTTATCTTTGCTTCCCTAGGACTTCTTGGGCCTACGTTATATGCTGAAGTTGGAGACATCATGAAAGTTCACTTTAAAAATAAGGCGGAGAAGCCCTTAAGCATCCATCCTCAGGGGATTAAGTACAGTAAAGCCGCAGAAGGTAAGAGGAGCCTCCTGTCCCTCTCACAGGAGAAGATGTGCAATTCTTTAACACCAGTTCGAGCACTGAACGCCATTCCATTAGCCACATGCCACAGAACCCCTGCAGCTGCTGACTAGAACAGTGATCGCTCTGTCAGGGGGAACGAAAGTGTCCTGGCACCATCTAGACCTCAGGGCTTTGAAGGTTCTAGTTATTTACTCGTTGGGTGGGCTAATTCCCTGGTCTTTCTTAGTCCCAGTGTGCTCACCTGCGCAGTGAGAGTGCTCACAGGCTCACACACTCACATGCACATTGCAAGACGGTGTAAGCAGGGTCCTCAAACTTCTCTGTAGAGATCAGAAAGCACGTATAATTGGCTTTGCGGGCCAGGCAATCTCTCCTTTTCAGCACAAAAGCAGCCAAAGGCACTATCTGTATGTAAGTGCATGAACACGGCTGCCGTGCCTCAATAAAACTTTATTTACAAAGAAAGGGGAGGTGGCTGGATTTGGCCCACGAGCCATCATTTGAAATAGTGACATAGACTAGTCTGGCACACAGATGGCACTTAAGTAGTGTTAAAATTTTGGACACAGTGAAGTGATTGAGAATATCAGCTTTGAAGGCAGACGTAGGTTCAAATTCCACTGTATGCTTCTGGCTAAATGATCTTAGCACCCCAGAGGCTCAGTTTCTCATCTGTGAAGTGGGAATGCTTACACCCTCTCCTAAGATTGCTTTGAGGATTAGATGGGATTGTTTAGGTATAGTACGAAATAAACATGGTTCCGGGAACTGGTACACCCTCAGTAAAGGATGTCAGTGATGATGATGATGACAGGGTCAGAGAAGATCATGAGGATGATAGAGATAAAAGTGACATCATCCATAGGATAGGAAGCACCTGTTGTTGCTATTGCTCTGATTATTTCCATTATACTTATGTTCAGACCCCAATAAGCAGAATAGAGTTCTGCTAGGAATGATATAAGAAAATTGTGTCCATATTGTAATAGATGTTAGCATAATAACACAACTATAACTTTAGACCTCTCTCTTTTCACAAGTCTTATTTCTCCCATAAGTTCTGACCACCATACATTTAAAGAGAGGAATTGAGCAGGAGAGTGGTATACAGGGCAGGGTCTGGAGCTAGCCTGCCTGGTGTAAATCTGGGCTCAGACACTAAGTGACTTTGGGAAAGTTACTTAACCTCTTTGTGCCTTACCTTTCTCATCTTAAAATGGAAATAATAATCAAGACTTATTTTCTGTTGTTGTCAATCCTCACTCAGGGATATTTTCCCATTGCTTCTTCAGAGAGAGTGAAAGGGAGGGAAGGAGAAAGAGAGAGATACACATCCATTGGTTGCCTCTTGTACATGCCCCGACTGGGGGTGGGAGGGAACCTGAAACCCAGGTACATGCCCTTGACTGGGAATCGAACCCACAACCCTTTGGTTCTCAGGCTGACACTCTAACCACTGAGCACACTGGCAGGATATGACTTCTTCAAATAGGTTTGTTGTCATGAAATCTTAGCACAACACCCAGCATATAATAAACACTTGATAAATATTAGCTATGATGGTAAAGGTAATTATTTAATCAAAATTTGTTCTAATGATGTCAATATCTCAATCAAAAATTTTTAAATGTGTCCAAATAATTTAATATTTAGATGACAATGTATGGATTAGAAAGTGACTTTTGCATTTACTATTTCAGTGTAAATTATTGTCAAACTCATTCCTGCTAAGGGATACGTGACTGCTAACAGGTCAATGGACTACCCTCCCTGGCAATATGTGCCTGAGCACACACTCTGGTTTGAGGAAGAACAGTGAAGCATTAACTGTGAGATTTCAGGCACCTGAAAGGGCCAATTTGGCAGGACTCTGGGTGAGGCAGCCTGAGTAGGGGTCTCTCCTGTGGCCCCCAAATCACATGATGTCATAGAACAACCACTTAACCTACTTAGGAGGCTTCCAGATGACACAGTGAAGACATGAAAGTTCACTTTAAATGTCAGGAATTCAGCACCCTGGTGCCAGGAGGGAGAGCCCTAAAAATGTCCCATGAAGGTCCCGTTTTAGATGTGGGAGGAGGTAAGTGCTGTGAACTTTGTATCCCAAATCGGGCTGTTTGCATGGGAAACAAACCTTGCAACACCGTCCTCTTCCTGTCTGTTGATTTGTCCCTCCCACCCCCACAGCCAGCAGGCATTGTGAGCAGAGGTTTAAAATGCGCCTACCATGTCCACTGGTCACCTGACCATTGCCCCGGTGCCATGTCTCTCTGGGAGTAAAGACTTTCCAAGAAAGTCACATCTTGCCTTGGAAATGAGATGCAAATCTAGCCAAGAGAGAGAGTGTCCTTTCTGGCCAAAGGCAAGCCTACCTGCTATTGTGTCCTCTTCCCTAAAATAAAGCATCTTCCTCACATCTGACCCTCAGCCCCCAAGTCTCCCGCCATGGTTTGAGCGATTATTTCTGGGGTGGAGATGAACTACGCGCTGAGCCAGCACCATGAGAATCCGGTTTCTTTATCTCAGAGGTGATTTGAGAGACGGGTGGTGGGAGGTTGAGATGAGTACAAGATTGAAGAGAGGACTCAGTCTTTGTCCTCATGGCTGCTGGATCTAACCAGAACCAAAGCAACTTTATCAGAACAATCCTCCTTATCTGGGAGCTAATCCTTGAGCCTCAGCTGGGATTTGGAAACCTCCCCTCCTCCCTGGAAAGGAAGGACAGCCACAGGAAGAATGCCGCTGTAGAGCCAGGATGGCCTCGCTTGGAACCCTAAGTAAACGCTGGCAACTTCCTTTACCACAAACCCTGTTTCACATCTAGCAAATGGGAATCGCAACTCCTTCCCTCTAAGGTTGTCACGAGGATCAGTCAGAATCAAAGCAAAGTTCCAGGCACGGTGGGCACGCAATAAAGCGAGCTGGTGTCATGGGGGCTAGTCCCTGGCTATTCACATGCAGCATTCCCAGAAGCTTAGATTGAATGAAAGCCTTGGTCCAGATAGTGTCATCTATCTGAATGAATAAAACGCTCCCCTTGAATTCAGATGCCAAAAGGAACTAAACTTCCCCAGGAAACCTCAACTAGCCAGAGCACATTTTGAATAATTGCAGTTTCCAGGTAGTTTGAGGTTTACTTCAAGTGTCTAAGATATTTCCTTTTCATTACTTTGGGTCTGAGATTTTCTAAGTGGTATACTTCCCCAGGCCTTTGCAAAACAGAAGATGGCAGTCTGAGGCTTCTGTGTCTCTGGATTTATTTTTGTTCATCAGTTTATGTTATTCATTAGATCCCACATATGAGTGAGATCATGTGATACTTATCTTTCTCTGACTGGCCTATTTCACTCAGCATAATGCTCTCCTGGGCTGAGAGGTGAGAGCAGGCTGGGAGAGGACAATGGGGAAAAAGGGGACATATGTAATACTTTCAACAATCTCTCTATAGAAACCTAATATGCAAATTGTCCCTGTGGGAGTTCAACCAAAAGACCAATCATTTGTTATGATGTGCACTGACCACCAGGGGGTGGCGCAGAACGAAGAAAGGCTCAGCAGCTGGAGAAGGGAGGCCCTGGTCGGCAGCCAGAGAAGGCCCTGGCCAGTTGCCAGAAGGCCCCAATCGGCCCTGATTGCCAAGAGACCCTACCCATGCATGAATATTGTGCACAGGCCTCTAGTAAAGAATAAAAAAATAAATAAAGTAATAAAACAGAGGATGAGAAGCAAAATTTGAGTCCCTTTCTAAACCATTCCTTCCAGTCCACTGTGAGATTTCACAGACATTCACAGATGTTAGAACTGTGTGCAGTCTGCGATCTACGTCAACAGACTCTCAACAACAGCTGTGTTATCTGTCTGTGGTATGACTTGCAGGTGAAGGCCTTGAGCTTTCACACATTGTTTTGTACATCGTTTTGTAACCAGAGTTGCCCGGGAGCCTGTTTCCGGACATTTTTCCATGGCTATCATTTGAATTCTTGGCTGGAAGTCTGGGTGCTGGACAAGAAAGGTGTGCACGTCTCACCTTGGCCTGCCATCATGAATTGGTAGCATCTGACATAAAGGCTAAGTTGTAGCTTGGTGTTGCCTGACTGGTCCCAGTGGCACCCCCTTCCCAGCTGTGTCTGAGAGCACCCCAGTAGCATGTGGGGCAGGGATGAGAAACCCCTGGGAGAACAGGATGGACTAGCCATGATTTATAAAATGCTTACAAGATCATTTCCTTTAGAGATGTACTTAACAGGAGTGAGTTTTAAACTGCAAACACAACTGTACCTATGTATTTTAAAACTTTCTGTCACTAAAAGGGTTTTTTCTCTTTAAAAAAATATTTTTTATTGATTTCGGAGAGGAAGGATGAAGGTGAGAGAGATGATGGAAACATGGAAACATCAATCATGAGAGAGAATCATTGATGGGCTGCCTCCTGCACACCCCCTACTGGGGATCAAGCCCACAACCCAGGCATGTGCCCTTGACCAGAATCGAACCCAGAGCCCCTCGATCTGTATTATAAGTACTATAGTACAAAATCCTATAATATTCCACTTTCTGCTGGTAACCCATCTCTGTGAATAAAAAACTAAAAAATAAAATTTCCACCAGGAATTGTTTTTTTTGCATTTACGTGTTGCCAGATTCTCTATATGAAAACAGTAAATGTTCCAATGTTTGGCATAATATAAGCAATTAAATTTTTCACTTTTTATCTGAATATTTTGGCCTAAGCTAGAAACTTCTCTGGGTATGTAAGTACCTGAAACAAACTGTAATGGCTAAGAGATTGGTTCTCATCAATCTCAAACTTGCAAACTCCTCTTCACGCAGTGTGCACTGGGCCAGGCTCATTAGAAACATGGGCATCCAGTTTTCCCTTTACCTCAGTGAAAGCTTCAAAGGGTACCTTCTGGCCCTGGCTGGTTTGGCTCAGTGGATAGAGCGTCGGCCTGTGGACTAAAGGGTCCCAGGCTTGATTAAAGTCAAGGGCA